AAACTGCTTTCTCAAATGCATACTAACTCTGGTAAGAATTGACATGGCTGCAAAGAATATAAATTGTCAAGATATTCAAAATGGCCAATAGGCTTGGAATTTTTCATGTTTACTTTTAAAATTCTAATCATTCTTAGTTAGAAAGGCAACTCAGAAGGCAAAAAGTTGGCAATTAATGCTATCTGATGTGTTTCTTAGTGAGTCTTCTGTATTATGTGAACACTTTATCAAGTTCTGATCACTCTTCCTGTCCCCTCTCCAAAAATGATCAATTTCAGGAATTCAACTGTGAATAAAGAATACAAAATATTTTTATTCATCTTTCAATACTTTAATGAAATGAGAAACTCATTCAAGGTAGGCTGCTTATGGTAAATAGCATTCACAAACCAGAAAAATAGGAATAAACTAAAATCTGGATGATGGGTAAAGTACTACTCTAGAGTCATAGAATCAGATTGGCATAACCACAAATTAATGAATACACAACACATGAAGAATTCTAATCAAAGTTCTTTCATCTAATTATAACTGTAAAACCAATATAATCTAATAGCAGTCAGACTATTAGGGGTGCTGGAACAAGGTTCCTCAATAGTTAAGTCTCACCTAGTTTTTACCCTATTAAAGTGAAATTTTAATATGCATATATAAAAGCAATCCCAAACACTGCTTTAATTTAAATCACCTACCAGAAGACAATTTGTTTTCCAACTTCACATTTTCTTTTTGTGCTGGAAAATCCTCAGAAACTTCTGTGGTTTTTACCTCTTTTCTTTGCCGGATGTACATCATGGTGTCAAAGACATGCATGCATTGTTCTTCCAGTCACTTCTACAAATAACACAGAAATAAATGGCCCATCGATATGCCAGTCCCCTCTCCCCAACACACCTCATGCTCATGTGTACTTAAGTGACAACCTGGGCTGTTGTCCCTTGTTTAGTAGGCCCTTCCATTATTCTCATCCAAATCTCAATCAGTTTTCAAAGCTACACTCAAGATACAATATGAAATATTTAACTCAACTCTATTAAGTGCTTGTTCTCCAACAGGTACTGCCAGATTAGGATTACAGGTGAGCTACACCACTGCCCATGACCTTCCAGGAAGCCTTCTTGGATGCTTCAAGTGGGCTGATATTTTTCTTCCCAGATATATGGCACATAAGCATACAATTTGTTACACAGTTACAGAGTTTCAGGTTATATTCTACAGTTCCACAGGCAATAGATTTTCAGTATCTTCCATAGAACTGACCACGTGGGAGAGATTTAATAGTAAACTGTTGTCAGCCAGATTTTAAAAAACTGAGACATTTTTTTTTTCTGTCTCTGAATTTTAACACCTGTGTTCTTTACAACAATTCATGCTAGAAGATTTATGCCTCAGTGGTGATGACAGCGGGGGTGTACCAATCAGGGCAGCTGCTATCCCGGGGAGCAACAGTGGGTGTTAAGGCAGGGAGCAGCAGCCTAGTTTGGAAGCTGCAAGTGGGAGGCGGGGGTGTGGTGGCAGTGAGTAAGCTGGTTCCAGGCCCCCAGAACATCTTGCTTGCTTCACTCCTCTGAACAATGAGTAGCATTTTGCTAATTACTTATTAATATGATCAGTAGCCTGACATGATTGTTTAAACAGTTTATTAATTCCTAAAGGCAAACAGCTTACTCTATGTAACAATCCAACCAATAGGATACAATTCATTTATTCATTCATTCAAAAAATCGTCAGAAGGAAAACAGACTTAAGTTCTTTGCCTTCAAGCACGGGAGACTGAAGCTGGAGCAGTGAGAAAGGAGTATAGCAATGTCCTACAGCCAGAAATGAGCTTATTCCCCCAGATGGCCTAATCCTAGAACCATGCCCTCTCTAAGGTGGAGAGGAGTTTTAAAGACAACAGTGTACACATTCTAATATATTAAGTCAGAGTGTACAAATTCTAAGACAGCTAATTATGTGTCTAGACTGCGGTAGTTTCACTTACTATGAAACAAAAGTTCCTCCAGCAAACGAAACAGAATGCCATTTTAAACGTATGCAAAAAGGATCTGCTAGCAATTCTTTATTAGTGGGAATGACTAGTACAGCAGTGCGCATCCTCTGGGCGCGGCAGGGCTCTGTGTTCCGCTTACCTGCGCACCACACCCCAACATCACCTGGCGTCCCCATCTGAGAGATAACCGGGGAGAGGCCGGCTGCTGAAGTTCAGGCGCTTTGCTCCAGCTCACCAGGACGGCGAGTGGTCGCGGAGAATCGAGCCCACGCCCTCCCTCCGCCCGTGAGGCCAACTGCGGAGAGGTAGCTCCGCAAAGTTGCTCTCTCCGGAGTTTCTGCCCCTGACCCCGCATTTCCGCCCGACATTCGCGTGCTCGGTCCCCTCCGGACGCCCAGAGTGCCACGGCCGCGCCTCCCCGACTGCGCTCGCGACGGGGCGGGGCCGCGCGAGAGCCTTTCGGCCGTCGCCGCGGGTTCCGCGAGACGCCACCAGGCAGGACGCAGCAGGCACCCGCCCGCCCCGCGAGACCTCTGGGGCCCTCCGCGAAAGCCTGGCGCCCGCGTGTTCCCTCGCGGCCCGACACGCAGCCACAGACCTGCGGTCTCAGCCGTCCTCACGCGCAGCTCCGGTGGGGTAGGAAGCGGGCCAGGCTAGGCGGCGCCGAGGGCCGCGGAGGCGGGGCCTCACTACGGACCGCAGCGCGCGGCAGGGACAGGAAGGACTGGGCAGCAGTGGAGCTTTGTGCAACACGGTGGAATAGGGGGCCGGGGGGCGTTGGCAGCCCCGGGAAAGGGGCGCGCCGGGGAGGCCGGTCCGCCACGGCTGCACCCATAGGTCCCGGAAGCTGCCTGTCAACGGGAGGCTCCACCCCCTCCCGCGCCGCCACGCCCCGTCTCGTGCAGCGCCGGCCGGAAGGAAGCGCGAACTTCCGCTCGCTGGTCCCGCCCAGCCTGTTGGCAGCCCTGTGAAGAGCCCGCCAGCGGAGCTGCTGGACAAGCCCCGCGGTCAGCGGGTGGTAGAAATTAGTTCGCTTATGCCGATGTCCGTCACCCGGGGCTGGAGCAAGAGGTGCGGTTGAGGGGAGGAGGGACTCGGTCGCTCTGGGGAAGGGTCGCTCCAGGTCCGACGATTGAGAGCCGCGGCCCCACGTCGGCCCCTGTTTGGGCCTGGGAGCCACCAAGGCTGGATTTGCGGAGTGGGCTATTTAAAACAAAACAACCCCCCCCAACTTTCTTCCTACCTGTACCCTCCTGTGCCCATGTCCTGCTGGATGCGATGTTCGTAAGGGAAGGTGTGACGGATTGAGCAGTCAGGTCACTTGGACAAGTCCCGGCTTCCCACGTTGCAAGGACTGCCGCGCCCCTCCCCGGGTCCTGACGCCCCAAACCTCCGACTTTTGCTGATTTGGGCTTGGATGTTAGTTACCGACTGCCATTGAGAGTACCCGCGGAAAAAGCTTTTGCATCTCCTACGATGCTCCTGTAGTGCTGGTGCCCCGGGCACTGTTTTGTCAGTTTTTTTCTTCCAGAATATGGTCCTGCAGTGTTGAATCTGCTATGTTATTCCATCACTAAACTGGATTTTAAGTCTCTTTTTGAGGAGACCTACTGTGTTTATACCTAGATAGATATCTTTAGTAATTACATTGCGAAAACCCGTAGGTAAAATCTTTTACTTAGCACATACTCAAAATAGATGTCAATTGAATTTTGATGACGAATTGCCATTTGGGACCTTCACCTGTGAAAAGGTGGCTCATCCATCTAATGCCTAATTCCAACACGAAATTACTGCATCCAGGAAACCTTTTCTAGTAACCCCTGCCTCTTCGATATTTTTCTCCTTTTTGTTTCCATTGGTATTCATAACAAGCACACTCCGTGAATGGTCGAGATATTTGCTGCATTGCTTTAATAAAAATGATGCCAACTTTTTTTTCAGATGGTATTTGTTGTATTTCTTAATGGTTGTTGGGTTCTCTCTTCTATGGACTTGAGGGAAGGAACTGCATATTTATAATTTTTAATATTGATTCCTTACATAAAATATATTTGTTAAGTACATATTTGAATTGATTCCTCTTTAATTAGCATTTTTCCTTATTGTACTCAGTAAGTTGTTTTTTTTTTTTAATTTTAAATTGTCTCACTCTGGGGGAAAATGTGACTTGTGAAATAGCAAGGAAGTACTACTTATCAGCTACTGTTTATTTTAATATTATGAAATGGCTTTACTAAGCAAGATAAAGCTTTAAGACTTTAATAAGAAGTAGAACTCCCCCACCGCTTTGCTGAGAGTTAGCCTTGGGAATGAATAATTGAGTGTCTTAATACAGTGACTCTGGGGCTAATGCATGATGAGTATAGGCCCTCTCCCACCTCTGGCTATATGAGCAAGGAGTTAGGGAGGGACCATAAAAGGCATAAGCTCTGGAATGGATAAGACTGACTGCAGTGGTACATGAGTATACTGATTGTTTGCACTGTGTTTGGAAGTCCTAGATTTTTTTCTGCTCTGTTGAGCAGTAGTTGAGTTTTGCAATTTTTAAGTGTGGTATGGGGACCTGCTGCATCACTAGCACCATCACCTGGGAACTTGTAAGAAATGCACATTATCAGGTCCTCCATACCTATTGAATTAGTCTCAGTAAGAGTTGCCACCCACTAGTCTGATTTGAAGTTCTCCAGATGATTTTTACTTCAAGAACCACACCAGAACCTTGCTACTCAATATATGGTCTGGATTGGCGGCATGGCCATCACCTGGGAACTTAGAAATTCAAGATCTCAGGCCCTGCCCAAGAGGTATTAAATCAGAAGCTATATTTTAATATGATCTCCAGGTACATTACACTTTGAGAAGCACTGCACCAGAAAACATTAATACTGTTCATCACATCCCTCCCATAGAAGTGTCTTGCCTTGGGACCAAGGGTGAGAGCTCTCCTGTTGGTGTCTTTCTTTTCTGGTGTATGATGTTCAGTGTTAAGTTGCTTGACTTAGAAGTATGAACACTCTTGATCATTCCTGCCTTCTGCAACAATAGACTGTCCAGGTGTTCCTTCATTTACCTTTCTGGTATTCCTTTTTCAGTCTCTTGTGCATTCTTATCCTCTTAAAAAAAAAATATATATATATATATTTTTTTTTTTGGCGGGGGGAACCATGGTTCCAATATTTACTGATCTTCTGATTAAAAAAACACGATTTTTTTAATGTCTAGATATATTTCCTGATGTTCAAGTCCCATATGTCCACTGCCTGTTGTACATTTGTATATGCAAACACCTCAAACTTAACATGTGCAAACTTTTTAAAATCCCCAAAGCCTGGTTTTTCTTCTGTGTGCCTTGTTCACTTAACTGCTCACATACAAAACATAGGAACTAGCCTTGCTTCCTCCCTGTTGTGTAAACTGTATTATCCGATCAAATACGGACTCCTGTATTGTCTGTCTCCTAAATATCTGAGAACTTGCCCACTTCATTTCTGTTGCCACCACCTAAATCTACTATTTCTTTTTTTTTTTTTTGGTGCTAGGGATTGAACCCAGGGCCTTATGCATGCAAGGCAAGCACTCTACCAACTGAGCTATGTCTCAGCCCAATCTACTATATCTTACCTGGATCATTTCAGTAAAATTTTTATTTCCTTACCTCCATTCCTGTCCTTTGTCCTTGTCCTTTCAATCCACCCTCCATCTAATGAGTGGTCATACAAAAATAGATATCCCTTATTGGCTTATTATTTTAATTATTAAGCTCCATAACAAAGTTTTCAAGGACTGTCAAAATCAGGCTCCATTTGTTTGTCTTCATCTTTATATAAATTTTTCAAAGGCTTGCCCATGACTTTATATAAGTGATTCTTGCACTCATTTTACCTGGCAACTTTAGATGTCAACTTAAGTGATCCTTGCTGTCTGGTGTTTATACCCTTGTGTACTCCTGTCTCAATGAATCGTGGTAGTTCTTTGTGATTAGGAGAATACTGTGGAAATGACAGCTTGGGACTTCTGAGGCTAAGTTATAAAAGACCTTCCAGTTTCAGCCTTAGCCTCTCTTGGATTACTTACTTAGGGAGGATACCTTTTGAGCACACTCCAATAGCCTGTAGAGAAAGCCATGTGGGCTGCAACTGGCTGTTAGCCACCAAACTAGCCATCCATGGAGTGAGTGAGCCATCTTGGAAGAAGATCAGCCAGCTCCAGGTCACCCTTTTGCTGACATCAGAAGACCACCCCCCCCCCAGTCAGAACTGCCTGTGTTATTCAAGTATCTACCACAGAAACAGGATAATAAATGTGTACTGTTGTTTTGTACCACTAAGTTTTGGGGTAATTTTGTTATGCAACAGTAGTTAGCCAATAGAGTAATAATCACTTCTGTGGATGTGTTTTAATTTAATTTCTTCTCACTTAATGGGACATTTGCATTGTTTCTGATTTTGAGCTTTTTATAAGCAATGCAGTAAGAACACTCTTATACATATGTAATTCTTTAGGAAATGTTTCTAGAAATAGAATTGCTAGAGCTCATATTCTAAATTGTGTTAAAAATTGGCAAACTATACTCCAAAAAGGTTAAAAATTCTATTACTTTTTTTTATTGCCAATAACATGTATTACAGTGCTCATTTCTGTATGCCCTTGCCAACAATAGATATCTTTAATCTTTGCCAATCTTAGGTGATAGTATATCATTAATTTATATGTATGGGTGGGCTGAAGGCAATGATATCAGGCATTTATTGGCGTTTTTTTTTTTTTTTGGTTCCTTTTTCTGATTTGTCTTTCTGTGTTTGTTGGCCAGTTCATCTATTTAGTCGTGATGTGAAGGGATTATTTGTAGATTACGGATATATATTAACCTTTTGTCATATTCATTGCAGGTATTTTTCTCATTACTGTGTATCTCTTTTTACTCTACAGGGATCTTCCATTTTTATATGGTTTAATTTACCATCTTTCCTTTATGGTTCTAGGTTTTTCCATCATGCTTACAAAAACATTCCTCATGTTAAAACTAAATTTTTATACTTCCAGTATTTTAAAATATTCTATCTTTTTAATAATGAGATAGAGCTGACATAATCTTTTTTCAAATTGGACAGTTCATTAGTTCAGCATCCTTAGTCTACTGATTTGAATTATTTTTACAATATACTAAGTTCCTATATGTGAATGATCTATGTATAAATTATTATGCTTCAATGATTAAAACAATGAACTAGTCTTACAATAGTCTCACATGTTTTTAATTACTGTTTCTTGATAGAATGCATTTTGATATTTGGGAAAGCAACTGACTCTTATGCCTCTTTTTAAAAAAATTGTTTTTTTTACTTGTCAATGGACTTTGTTTATTTATACACAGTGCTGAGAATCAAACCCAGTACCACATATATGCTAGGCAAGCATTCTACCACAGAGCCACAACCCTAGTCCCTCATTATGCCTCTTTTTAGCAGAGCAAATATTGCAGCAATTTTGCATACTTATTTGCTCAGATAAACGTCATAATTTTCCAGATTCCAAAAAAGAATTCATGGAAATTTTTATTAGAATTGCATAAAATATATATACATGTTTTACAATATTGAATGTTCCATTCAGGAATATGTATTTAGTTAAAGACATTTTTGCCCATTACATATGTTTTTTCCAACAGTACTTTAATCCAAGTCATGTTTCTCCTCTTGTCCACAAAGGTTGACTTTTCAAGTGCCTTGATGAAAGAATAGTTGTCTCCAAATTTTATCCAATAGTTTTTGTCTTCTCTCTTTTGCTCTCTCTCCTCACACATTTAACTGTGTCACTACAAATCTACAAATGGAAATCCCAATATCTTCTATCTGCATCCCATTGCATTATTTTATACACTCCTTGTATACGACTCATGTCAGAGACCACAGAGGTGGGTTGTGTTGATGGCATTCTTCTGAGCCTCTTTTGGACACTTGGTTCTCAAGGGACCCAGGCCAAGTCATAGGGATCAGCTTTTTTGGTGCTCACAGATCATTCCAGTCACACAGGAATTAATGTTATGCTAGATTCCTCCTTCTCTCCTTTCTAATACTTGTCCATATATAGCTCCTTCTCTTGTGAGAGTCTTCAGAAAAGCATTTTGGAATAGTATTTTTCTCTTCCTTTGATCAACACTGTATTAATTAAATCTGAAGTGGTTTAAAATAGCAAAATTCATAGATGGACTGGCATAGGTGCAGACTTACTTAAGGATTCTATTAAGCAAAGTTAAAGTTACCAAAGTATTTCAACACGATCAGCTTTGTTTCATTTTCTTCCTTAACACCTGCTATTCTTCTTACCTCTACTTTCCTGTACTTTTTTCTCATTTCCATGGTTACCACCTACGCTTTTTTTCATTTTCATGGCTAGAATAACTGTTATATATTTTTGAACAAGGACATGAATAGTCAAGCTATTCAACTAAAGCAGATGATGATGCTTTATCACATAAGCTTTTTGCCAAATCTGATGATTCCTAAATGTTAGCTGTTCAAGTCCAAGAATCAGTGGCCTCAGCTGGTCCTTCCAGTTTCTTTCTTTGGACTT